GGTCCGGATCTGTGAAGTTCGGATTCTTCCAGGTGGGTGTTGTTTAGATCTGGCTGCTGTGCTCCACTTCTTTCTGCTGCAGGCCTTATAGTTGAACCCTTTGTGTCTCTCTGGCAAGATGTTCTGCTCCTGAATCAGCTGGATGGGTCTTGCCTCTAGCCTCTTTGCAGGGAGTTCTGTTGAAGGGTTCCATGCTGGGCCTGCGCTCTGGGTCTTTTCAGGAGCCTGAGGGCCCCAGGTCGTCTCACTCACTCGCCGGGCCTGTGCTCTGGGTCTGTTCAGGATCCCGCAGCCCCGGGTCATCCAAATCTTTGTTGTTTAAGCCACTAGTATACAGAAATTTGGTATAGCAGCCCAAGTTGACAAAGAAAAAAGGGGTTGGGAAGAAAGACAAGAGAGGCATGGAAATAATACATCTGTATTCATGGTACTTTGGGAGGCTGAGCAAAAGGGTTGAAAATGTAATCCCATCTTGGGCAGCTTAGTGATCAAACATGGCCCAATGTCACGGGCCATGAAATAATAATGAAAATAATAATATAAAATAAAATAAAAAGGGCTGGCAATGTTGCTCAGCACAGAGTCCCTGGGTTCAATCCCTAGTACTGGAAGATAAAAATGCCCTGAAGAGGCCTGGGAGTGTCGCTCAGAACAGTGCGTACCTTGCATGTGTAAGGCTCTGGGTTCAAGCCTACAGGAAAAGAGAGAAGGGATGTAGTCCTGTATGTTCTTCATGTAAAATGAAAAAACATGCAAAATGGAGGAAGCCAGATGTGGAAAGTCACACATCGCAAAACCACTTTTATATGAAATGTCCAGAATAAAACAATGAGTGGAAACAGAAAGTAGATTCATGGCTTCCAGGGCTCAGGGAAGGCTGGGAGGGACAGAGGGGATTTTGACTTAGAAGTCCAGGGTTTCTTCTGGAGGTGATGAAAATGCTGTGAAATGGACTAGGGTGATGTTTGCAGGACCTCAGGAATATCCTGAAGGTGCACATAGAGCTGTGCACTTTACGTGGGTGGATTGTACAGTATGTGAATTGTACCTCAGTCTAGCTTTTAGATGTAACCAATGGCTTCATGCAGTAGCCAGTCCAGGGGACAGGGCCCACGATGGCACAGAGCAAGGCTTGGTTCTCTGCGGGTAGCTGTGCTAACCCCAGGGGCATTTGGAAATATTGTGGGCGTTTTTGGTTCACTGAATGTCAGGGAATGATGTCAGCATTTAGGGGGTGGGGAAGCTAAACATCCTGCAGCCGAAGGCCAGTCTTGCACAGGCAGAATTGCCTTCCCATCACCACCCCACTGCCTGCCCCTCCCCCAGCTGAAAACCCTACCCCAGGGGAGGATTCCTAGCCATATGTGTTAGGAGGTTGCTACCCTAGGATTTATATATATAGTTCTCTTCCACGTTTGCCACCAAAGGGTTGACTCTCAGTGTCACGATTTTTTTGTGTGTGCGGTGCAGTATCCCCAACCCTTTAAAAATTTTTATTTTGAGACAGAATCTCCTTGAGTTACCCAGACTGGGTTCCAATTTGCAATCCTTCTGCCTTATCCTCCCAGAGTGCTGGGGTTACAGGTGTGTGCCACTACACCTGGCTATTTTTTTTTTTCTTTTCTGTTATTCATTCATACATCCATTCATTCATGCATGCATTCATTCATTCATTCATTCATTCATTCATTCATTCATCAGTGGTGCTAGGCATAGAATGCTGTGCCTCCTAGGCAAACTGGCTACCACTGTGTGACTTCCCAACCCCTGCATTTAATTTTGTGGCACATAACTGAGCATGTCATGGGGTATGAGGTGTTTAGAGTTGTGTGCATGTCTGCACCAGTTTTGGTCCTCACAGCAGACCAAACCAAGCCAGGAGCAGATCTGCCCTTCATCCCAGAGTGTCCTCACCTCTGGAAGGCTCTGCTGGCTCTTGTTTGTGGCACTGGGCCTGGCCTAGGCTTATTATTTGTGGAGGAATTATTTTTAGCCCTTGGGAGCAGTTTTGAGGTAACTCATTTGGGAGCTTAGGCAGTGCTTTTTTTTTTTTTTTTTTTAACCAATCGTGACTATTTTCAACTGGGTAAAAGTTCTAAGGCAGAACATTTCCTTTTTAAGGTGGTGTTTCTCTGGCAGTTCTAAACACTAAT